AACTTCATCTCCAAAAGGAAGTTTAATATATTTTCCTTTAACTCTGAACTCGGAAATGAATGCCAATTGGTTGAGTGAAAACGAGATAATTAACCAATTAAATCCCCTAGACACATAATCACACTGAGCAGTGATTTGTTTGGAGCAATAGATGTATAAGCTAAAACAGGACTTCCATGACTTAGAATCTTTCCAACCTTTAATGCTGTTTAAAAAGTAGCCTATTTCCCATTAATTCAGATGAGTAGTAAATTACACGTTTCAAAAGTAGCCTATTTTCCATTAATTCAGATGAGTAGTAAATTACACATTCTGAAAGTCTTTCGCGTTTAAAACTTACTCTAATATAAAGCGAGACATCTTTGGCATAAAAATTCGTAATTTTATTTGGAACCCTCTGTCTGCTGTCAGGTGTTATCGTTCTAAGATAACGAATAGTGATACCCATTGATATATCCCTAGTAGTAATTTCAGTCATGTGGCCCGTATGTTTACTGTTAGGTTTATCATTCAGCGATAATTAATAGTAAGATACTCATTGGTATATTACATTACGGATTCCAACGAAATTCGAATTGATAATATTCTTAAGTATATTCAGGCAACTTCATAATTCATTCTTTCTACTGTATAAGTTTTTTGATCTCGGAGATCAACTTGATATAATTTACTTTTAAAGATCACCTGGTAATGTGGGCTCTGGATTCGCAATCTGTGTATAGCGGATTCACCCTTTCATCCATGGGGATGTTATATTGTGCGGTCAATCCCACTTTTAGTTGGTAAAAGAGTAGCCCAAGAGATGGCGATGGGTAGTGTTGACTAGCTGCCTTCCCTCTATAATCTATCAGTTCAAAATTATGGATCTCTAGCCCAGATAATCCTCGAGTAGCTTTGCGAGTAATTCAACAAACAAACAAAAAGTTTCGAGGATATCATGCATTTAAATTAATTCAAAGTAGCGTTAACCTAATTCAGATCGAAGAATGAAATGTTCGTATTAACAAAACATGCAACACAACATCGTATGCATTTAATATTTAACTGAAATGAAATGTTCGTATTAACAAAACATGCAACACAACATCGTATGCATTTAATATTTAACTGAAATGAAATGTTCGTATTAACAAAACATGCAACACAACATCGTATGCATTTAATATTTAACTGAAATGAAATGTTCGTATTAACAAAACATGCAACACAACATCGTATGTATTTAATATTTAACTGAAAGAGTTAAGCTCAAAAATAAAACGTTCCTCGAAATATTTCTGATTAACGATTTCGTTTTCATCATAATTAGGCTTCGACATTCATGAAATCTGGAAATGAACGTGAGAAGTAGTTGTTGTTGTTTTTCCTTTCATAAAAAAACGAAGCCATTATCAATTCATGTGAAATGACTTTAAAAAAAAAACTATAGGTTTTAAAGAGCTGTCAATAAACATTTGCGCAGGTCCACCGGCGGGACAGCAGTAAGTTTACGGACTTGCGTCGTTAAAATCCGAGATTCGACTCCCCCGCGATGGATACAACAGATAACCCAATAGGGCTTTCCTGTAACAAAAGCAACCAACTTTTGCGCAGAAGGTGAAGATATGGAATGACAACATAATGATCTACAAGCACTTCAAGTTATGGCGATCAGATATCAGTCATTGCTATAATTAGTAGCCTGTATAATCATCTAACTCTCATTACTGATTGATTAATATTTTTTTCTTTAACAATTACCAACTAGCTTTTATCCCACGTCTTCGGGGAAGTTCCGAAAAGGCCTCTTTCTGTGATGGTAGTGTCCGGAATTTCAAGCTAGGTCGTTCTGATGGTTTGTTTGTAATTATGCACAAAGCTACACAATGGGCTATCTGTGCTCTGCCCACCACGGGTATGGAAACTCTGTTTCTAGCGTTGTAAGTCAGCAGACATAGCGCTGTGCCACTGGGGGGCCGTTCTGATAGAGAGGCTAGTTTGCTATCCACTGGTCTGGGTTTCCCATTTACCACCACAGAAATAGGGACTTCCCTGAAGACGGCACTATATTAGCAGCCGAAACCTAGGTTTGTTTTGAATTTCGCGCAAAGCTACACGAGGGCTATCTGCGCTAGCCGTCACTAATTTAGCGGTGAAAACTAGAGGAAAGGCAGCTAGTCATCACCACTCACCGCCAACTCTTGGGCTAGTCTTTTACCAAAAGAATAGTGGGATCGAGCGTCACATTACAGAGCCCCAATGACTGAGAAGACGAGCATGTTTGGTGAGATAGGGATTCGAACCCGCGACCCGCAGATTGCGAGTGGAGTGCCCTAACCACCTGTGATGGACATAGCAGATAACCCAATGTGGCTTTGCTCTAAAACAAACAAACGAAGCATTCACTAATCACGATTCAACTTATTACTTCGTAGACTAAGAAAAGACAGTTTTTTCACAGGTAATAAGCCGTCATGTTAGTTACGCATAAGTAAATGCATAATTCCTTTGATTGATATGACGTATATTTGCAAGCGGACCATGACGATACACAGAACTCGTAAATTAGAACTCCTACTTACTTTTTTACGTAATTCCAATATGAAGGTATGATTTGACGTAAATTTTTCTCCTCTTGCTTTTTTTGCCAGTAGTCAGAAAAGTTAATTTCCCAGAGACAGTGATAGGTCGATGTAAATAGGGGTAACGCAAAAAAGAAAAGCTCAGGATATTGTTGAAACGCCAACCAATGAGAAATTACTAGGAAAAAAAACTAACAAACTTGAACAGTATATCTTTTGCTTGTCAGTTTTCAAGCGCAAAGCCGCAAAACGCGCATTTAAACAGCTGTGGCAACACGTCATTAGAAAAGACTAGTTATGTGAGTAATATTGCCGAGTTTTCGGTAATATCTTAGTCATGCCTAAACAGTAGAAACTGATTGTTCAGTTCATTAGGACTTCTATATTTGAATGCCTCTCAACTTACGCATGCTAACTAGAACACTAAACACTGATTACTACATGCGTTCAATCATAGACCAAGCTGCTTATCATCGCTATAAATGGTTGAATTAATCTATAACGTTCTGTTAAATGTTGAGAAGAAAATGATTTGATATTCCAGAAATTCTAATTTGGGGTTGGCCGGTATTTTTGTAAAACAAGGTTGTTGTTTTTTTTACACCCGGTTGACTGGGCAACCATATAGGACGGGTATTCGAACTCACGACCCTCAGATTGCGGTCGAGCGCCCTAACCATCAGGACATGCCAGGCCTTAGTAAGAACTCTTTTTATCAAGAGTATAATTGGAATTCCAAATAATACACTAATGATGGGAAGTCGCACCACGACACAAAGGTACACAAGAGCTCTCTGCACTAGCCGGACCTAATTTTGAAGTTATAGACCAGAGGGGAGACAGCTAGTTAATCAACACCATCCACCGCCAACTCTTGGGATAATATTCTCAAACCAAATATTAGGATCTAACAGTCACTCTTATCAAGCACTCTCAGAACCAACGAGCGGAGCGTGTTTTTATTTTTTGGCGCGGTAATTGGACGCGAACCACGAAATCTCAGCTTGTCCGGCACACTAACTGCTAGGATACGCAAAAAGGGGCTAATTGTAAGTAAAAATAGAATAAGTTACAGTAGCCTAAAATAATGTAAGTTATTCTATTTCCATGAAACCATTTAGTAGATGTGCCTTAGGTCAAAAAAAGTTTGTAACCTCTGTGCTAAAGCACATTAAACTAATTAATGGGATTTTCGTATCTGGAATCAATTCGAAATCTTCCAGGTCTATAGCTTTCCTATCTTGAACAAAGTACGTGAAATTAAAATTACTATCTCTTCCTACTTATATTGCCCGGCATGGCCGCGTGGTTAGGGAGCTCGACTCGCAATCTGAGGGTCGCAGGTTCGAATCCCCGTCCCAGCAAACAAGCTCGTCCTTTCAGCCGTGGGGGCGTTATAATGCGACGGTCAATCCTACTATTCGTTGGTGAAAGAGTAGCCCAAGAATTGGCGGTGGGTGGTGATGACTAGCTGCCCCTCCTCTACTCTCACACTGATAAATTAGGGACGGATAGCGCAGATAGTCCTCGTGTAGCTTTGCGCGAAATTCAAAACAAACAAACAAAATCCTTCTTCTTCTTATGGCAGTAATGAGAAACGAAGTATGGAACATTTCGCTAAATGTCATAAGATAGAATAACTTAGAAAGTGGACAAAGGAGTAAAACGTATATCCATATTCATGGCACGTTTTATTGTTACAGTGATCTGAACCTAATAGATATTTGAATTATTTATTTCTAACCCCAATAACTGATACATTGATCTAATATATATGTATTTTTGGAATCACAACTCGGGCTATTTCAGTGGACTCAGAAACAAATAGAATTTAGTCAAATTTTCTAGGATTGCTTCATTTTTACTAGTTAGGTTGATCCGTAACATTTTAGCATTGATGCGTGTCGTAAAATATGAATGTTTTAAATCGGTCCAGTAGATAAATAAACTAGATTCTACAAATCCCCAAAATCTACAAAGATCTGTAGCACTGATGAAAGTTTTAAGAGTGTTTTTAATTCTTCTAATAAATCTTTTAATGAAAAATTTGATTACTTACTATCCTTATTGTTTTAAAATATATAAACACGACATATTACAGAAATTGAGAGGAAAATCACATTGGGCTATCCGAGGTGTTTACCGCGGGATTCGAAACCAGGATTTTAATGTTGTAAGTTTGTAGACTTAACGCTGTCCCAACGGGGGACTGCTCCAGAAAAATTACTGTTTTCATATACGCCAAAGTTTCGTTATTTCGACTTCATCGGGACAAACGAGACACTATCTAACTGATTTTAGGCTTATAACATAGAAATATTATGCTTTCTACTTTCGTGTGTTTTTTTTTTACGTTCTTTTTTAAACAATAAATACAACTCTCCAGTTTCCACTACAAACTTTAAACCCTCATAATATCATGTTTGTTTGTTTTTGAAGGAGTGATAATTTTCGGATCTGATCAAGAAGTTGCTGGAGTGATGCGGGCTGTCAAGAGAAACAATGTTACGGGCTACTTCTCGTGGATAGGAAGCGATGGTTGGAGTGCACGTGCCCTCGTGTTTGACGGTAACGAACCTCAAGTAGAAGGGACATTGTCTGTACAACCTCGTGCCCATTCTGTGGACGGCTTTGACGACTACTTCTTGAGTTTAAATGTGAAGAACAATAGAAGAAATCCCTGGTTTGTAGAATACTGGGAGCAGTACTTTCATTGCAAGTGGCCTAACAGCACCATCACTCCTTACAACCAGAATTACAACAAACAGTGTAGCGGTGACGAAGTAATGACGTACACTAATGGATACGAATCTGAAAGGCAGCTACAGTTTGTTAGTGATGCTGTTCTCAGCTTCGCCTACGCTTTTCGAGATATGCATCAGAATCTGTGTGGTGGTAGGCCTGGTCTTTGTCAACGGATGAATCCTATCGACGGAACGGAGCTTCTCACATACTTGTATAAAGTCCATTTTACAGGTAACCATTAAATTAAACGTATAAGTCCCAATATATGCTTGCGGGCTTATAACACTAAAATTAGGGTTCGATACCCATGGTAGGTACAGTGCAGGTAGTCCGTTTTGTAGCTTTGCGCTCAAAATTCGTTTGTTTGTTTTAAAGCAAAGCCACATTGGGCTATCTGCTTTGTCCACCGCAGGGAATTGAACCCCGGATTTTAGCCTTGTATGTCCGTAGACATTGTAGAACTTGCACTTAAAACACAAAGAATATA